TCTATTTATAAAGCGTAGAAGGATCTCAGGGACGCGCCGCCGGTGGCAAGACATTTTGTAGAGATGGGCCACCAGTTGGCCTCTTTGAGGTTCGTTTTAATAGACCATGTTCCCATATCGTGCAGAGGTAGAAATAGATTTGGAAATGCTCAAAAAAAGACAATGGATATTTAAGCTGGACACCGAAAGACTTCAGTGAGAGTTATTCCACCTCTGTTTGCCTAAAAGAGGAATGACTTTATCATGTTCAAATTACAGAGCGTGTTTTGTATGCTCCACTCTAGTAAAGTAATTTTGTTATCTGCTATTAAATCAGGAGTTCTACCTGTGAGGCGAGTAGCCTCTGCTTGTTAAATTTCTGGAAATGGTGTTAAAGGAACACTACCTTGTATTCCTGACCCTATAGTGCTAAACCCACCATTTTGGTGGCTTGCCCCCCAAAAAAAAGCCCTAAAAAAAAAAAAAAAAAAGGGAATTTAAAAACCTTTACATACATTAAGCTGTAGTTGTTCTGGTGACTATAGTGTCCCTTTAATAAACTAGATATAGCAGTCACGACTATGGTGCATAATTTGTTATTGCACTATGGAATATTATCCATTAATGTAGTTTGTGTAGTGCCTGCCTGGTAGAGATGGAATATGATCAGTGTCAAAAGGCGTTAATTTGATTGTATGAAAGGTCAATTGACAGAAGGAGTAAAGTAAATTGCATAGGAATGTGAAAAGGGTTTTGCCATATGGATGAATCTTGTGAGTTAAGCAAAGGCTCTGCAAAGTGTGAGATTCTACACTTGAAAAGCTTGAATGTCTGGCTTCAGCCATATAGCCTGTACTTCTTAATTGAAGTGTCAATCTCTTTGATATGTCAATGGCCATTAGCCTTTTTCCCGTATTAGGGATCGACCAATCAGTCTGGCCAATATGTATTTTCAGGAATATCGGCATTGGCCAATACCGATAATTCAGACCAGGGCTGCCATCAGGGTCCTGGTGGGCCCAGCACACTCTTACTTACCTTCCCAGCAGCTCCCTTGTCTAGCTCTTGCGAGTCCCACGGCCGTCCACGAGAGTTAAACAAGGGAGCTGCTGGGAATAGATGGGAATAGATGAAAGTGTGCTGGGCTCTCCAAGGAATGCCATATCCCACTCCCTGGTCATGTAAGAAGGGAGAATGGAGGAACTAAAACAAAAGTTAAAGATGCCGCAGCTGCTGACACCCCACATATTCTTAACAAAAAATTGTGACTGCCATTTATATTTTGTGCATTTACCTCAAAAAACAAAACAAAAAAGTTCAGTTAACAGTAGATTTGTTTAGTAAGTTTATTTTTAAAAAATGGTAAATGTACAGAGTATCGGTAAGTTATCAGCCTGAAAGTTCACATATCAGTATCGCACGAAATGTATGCAATCATATAGTTGTGTTTTCCTGACACTATAACCCTTAGGTCCCCCCACCCACCTTCACGGATCCCCCTCCTGCTGGGCTGGAGTGGTTAAAACCCCTTCAGCTACTTATTTTAATCCATCAAAAGTCTCTCTGGTGACCTTTCCTCCCACGTCAACTCCCGAGTGGAGCGGAATGTGCATGCGCATCCCAACGCTTTCCTATTGATGTACTGCATGCCGAATGCCAATGTCACGTGCGTGGGCTGTAGGCCCAGCCGAGACAGTGGGGAGAGTGTGGAAGTGACAGGGTTAATGACACCAGACCCCTGGTTACCTGTTGCTAGTCCCAGCAACCACTCAATTAACCCCTGCAATCCCTTCTACACTAACCCCCTTAGTACACACTTTACTGCCACCACCAAGACTTTTAAACCCGGGCGTCTTAGGTTACCCCACACACACAGGAGAATTATAGTATCACAGTTCTACTTTTACTGATAAAACATATATAGTTAACCCTTTTTGGTAACGTGTTTACCTGAGCTTTCCTCTGGAGAGTGAATCTCAGAACAGAGACACAAGCTGATTAAGTAAACATTTAATCTGACAAAAAGGATTCACAGTGCTGAGTACAAAATACAGAAATAAATGACATACAGATAAATTGCAAAACAGTACATAAAATAAAATAGGAGAAAACAAGAAATTCCCTACATGTAGTTCCCCATATAGAATTCTTGTGGGAGTCTTAGATGGTATAGGTCTCCTAGAAGTTGCTGACCAAAGAGAAAAAAAAAAATAAAAAATAAAAAATGAATAACTGACCTGGATAGTCCGGCACCCTCATTATATACCTAAACTAGTTATTGCTTAGTGGGCAGTCCCCTGGGGGGGGGACGAAAATCAGAGGGGGTTGGTCTCAGGGCCAGACTGGCCCACCGGGATACCGGGAAATTTCCCGGTGGGCCGCGGCACCTGGGGCCGGTCTGACAGCCCTGATCATTGGGCTGACAGCTCCTGTGCAGCCCTGTAATCCCGGCCGGCCGTGTGAGCTGTGCGGCCGCACAGAGCCCCATGGGAGCAGGGGGAGCCAGGCGGCCGGCACAGCTCACACATGGCCAGCCGGGATGAGAAAAATAAAAATAAATTTGCGGTGGGGGCGTGGCTTATGTGCGTCGGGGGCCTGGCAGACTGCAGCATGGGAAGCAGGAAGGAGTTCCTGCTTCCCCAACAACAAGCCTCCAGGAGCTCCAAGCAGGAGGGAAGAAGCAGGTCAGTGTGAGACTGCCCGCGTGTGTGGCTGTCTGCCTGTCTTTGTATGTGTGGGTGTTTGCCTCGGTGTCAGTGACTGCCGGTGTGTGTGTGACTGCCTGCCTGTCTGTGTGTGCGTGCGCATCTGGTAGTGAGGGAGCCTGTGTGTGCGCCTGCTAGTGAGTTTTTGTGTGTGCTTGCTAGTGAGTTTGCATGTGTGTCAGTGAGCTTGTCTGTAAGGAGCATGGATGTACAGTGAGCTTGTCTGTAGTAAGCATGAGTGTGATCATGAGCTTGTCTGTAGTGACCATGTGTGTCAGTGAGCTTGTCTGTAGTGAGCTTGTCTGTAGTGAATCTGTGTGTTAGTGAGCTATTCTGTAGGGAGCGTGTGTGTCAATGGGCTTGTCTGTAGGGAGAGTGTGCGCATCAGTGAGCGTGTGTGTGACAGTGAGCTTGTCTATAGTAAG